CCACTTAGAATTTATTATTGAAGATGCAGTAAGTAAAAAAAACCATCAAGTGGGTGGATGCTGGTATCAAGTATGGGATAATCACTTAACCCCAGTATGAAGATTTTTTAGTAAGTCAAGCTTGACTATAACTGGCTTTGCTTGGGAGGCAACCCAAGTTTTAATTGTTAGTATTGCATATTTTTAGTTTGCTTATTTTGATTTTTTTAATGGCAAATTATGCTTTGGTTTTTCTTTGTTTTGTTTTTGTAGGAATTAGGAGCAAGGAAACTAAACTAGGTGCGACAAAGGAAAATTTTCATAAAGTCAATTTCAACTTTTAGACTTTAAGGGAGTATCTCTTTTTCCTTTTCATGCATTTTATGCTTTATTTGCACACATTGGGGACATTATGTTATTCAAGTTTGGGGAGAGAGATAATTTGCGTAAAAGTTTTAAATTTTTTTTAAAATTTTTAAAATTTTTTGCTTTAAGCTCAATTTTTCATTTTAGAATCATTATATCACTTCCCTTTAGTATTTTTCTCATAATCCAATAATAGTAACTTTGATTGACTTTAAATATAGCTTTTTAGAAAAGATTAAATGTAGTGAAGGCATGAGATGAATTTTAGAATTTGCTTCTTTTTAATTGTAATATTTTCACACCACTTAATCTTGATCATTGAAATGCATGAATGTTTAGTTAAAATTTATGTAGATGTTGAATTGCATTGATCTTTAAAGTATTGTGCATATTTTAGAATTTGCTTGAGCATCCTTCGAGGTGAAATAATAGACCACATTTAACTAGAGAGACAATTTAGGCCATCTATGGATTGTTTGAGCCTTTCAAGCTAATCTTTATTTATGTTTACCCTAGTTACCCCTTTTAAGCCTAATATATATGTATTCACTTTCTTTGTTTTCACCTATAATAACAGCCACCTCTTTGTTTTATTTTTTTTCTTTCTACCCTACCTTATGTGCATATGGATCAATCAAAGTATTATGAAAGCTATGTTCACTAGGATGGAAAGGTGGAGTTTGAATGTTTGTAAATTCTGTTTCAAAGCAAAAAGAAAATAAAATAAAAAGCTAAAAATAGCATTTCAAAGAAAGAAAAAACAAAATAGAAAAAAAGAAGAAAAAATGGTGAAAATGTGAAAGACAACAAAGTATTAATGAAAATCAATCTAGTTACCATTTGAAAAAAAAAAAAAGAAAGAAAAAAGAATTTCAGTTTGGAAGTTCTACAATTTTTTTTGAAACTCTCTTATAAAAGTGCAGAACTGAAGTAATGCATGCTTAGGTTTATGAGCCTAAATTTTCTTTTATCTTACCTTAACCCTAGCCTGACATTACAAGCTTAATAAAGACCTATTGATCTTTGGTTAAGTTTGTGGCTAAATTACTAAAAGGGTATGTGAAAAGTGAACTTATGAAATTTGTTAATGCTTTGAAAAGATTAGTTGATTTCATATTTGCTTAGCTTTAGTTGAATATCTTGCATTGATTTGAGATAGATTATTCACATACACATAGAAATTTGTTATTGAAATGCAAGCTAATCCTTAAATGATTGTTGTGTGGGAACTATGATCTTGATTTTCTTTCTAGTTATACTTATCATGCAACTTTTCAGGATTTACAATATTGGGAGTGCATATTTTGATCTCTACATGTATTCAATTTAGTTTTATTTTGCTTAAGGACAAACAAAAGTTCAAGTTTAGCTGTTTGATAACTCTATTTTATAAAGTTATTTATAGTGTTTTAAAGGTTGATTTTTGCTTGATTCTTAGTAAAATAAAGTACTTTTTACTTTTAAAGGGTTGAATTTGTTGTTTCGTAGGTTTTCTTGAAGAAAAGAATGATTCTTGGTAATTCTTGAAGATTCTCAAAGTTTCTTGAAGCTTGAATAATTCTTGATCATTTATGGATAATTGAGATGTTTTTGGAAGTTCTTGATTTTCTTCAAATCTTGAAGTTAAAGAATGGGAAATAAGTCCAAGATTGGTTTTATGGAGTCTAATAAAGATGGAAAGATGAATCTTGAAAAAAGAATGAAGAAAATTTATGTAAAGAATTGAAATAGAAATTCTGACCACATGGAAGGGTAGAATTGTACTTTCACATGATTGCAAGTCCATGATAGCTTATATAGGTGCACATGCATGGGATTCCTATAAGATGACATGACATTTAAAGCTTTCTTATTGGTTAAAGAAGATGATATGGCATGATGAAGTGGCAATTCTATTTTCTTTTCCTAGTTGGAGTTGGATTTTTGCATTGTTATTAAAGTTTTCTTATTAAAGTTTCTATTTTTGCACTATTAAATTCATTTAGTAGTTTAGTTTATTTAATTTTTGGGTTCCATATTAGTTTAGTTAATTGCATAATTTTTTAGTTTTCCAAGTGTAAGATAGGGTAAGATAATTTTGGTACTTGTTACACTCATATATACAATCTCCGTAGGAATGATACTTGACTTATTTTATATTACTTGTATTGACTCTATGTGTTTGTAGATTTTCAATCAAGTTTTTAGCGTCATTCTTAAGGATTGTTGGAGTAGTTTCATTATTGATACCAATCATCCTTCTTGTAGCTTGGAGTTGATTTTTTTGTACAAATCTATGTTTTTTTTTTTTTTATGTCAAGTTTCTATATATTTGAGGTCAAGAACCATGGGAACTATGCTACTCCCTTTTTAGAGCATTCGCAAGCTTAATGGACATCTAATTGCTTAGATGGTAATGTTTATGATGAGGATTACTATAGTGATAAGTGTGCATATGGTCAACGCTCTCATTTTTACCCAAACACCTACACTCAAGTTTGGAGAATAGGTTAGAAGTCTCATGGGGTAGCAATCCAGGGCAATCTTTTAGTTCATTACCTATATACACCTTTCTTTATCGTATTAAGTTTTCCTTCACCTTATTATTCATCACAATACCCACACCATGATTTCCCACCATCACAGCACATTCTACCTTATGGCCCACCTCCTCTATACCACACACCACCATAATACTTTCCATCACCTACTTAATATCAACCACTACCTCCATAAGAAATGAAACCCTCACATAAAGAATTTTTCACCGAAGTCATCCAAAACCAAACCAACCTCTTTCAAACCTAAGTAGCTATCTTAAAAAATCTTAATAAACCAATGGATCCTAATTGGTTGGATGGCATGGAAAGCACATTTAAGGATGATCAAAGAAAATGAGTTATAGTATATGTTGATGATGATGACGATGATAAGCTTATTGTGATTGATGTGCTTGCATTTGTTAAGGTGGTGGATGAAAAAGGTTGTGGAGTAGAAGACCATTCTTGTGAAATTGAAGTAGAGGATAAAGAATCAGCTCTAAAATCTAACATTCTTGAAGAGTCTAGCGTTAGTTTCATTAAATAAGAGTCTGAGCCTTTTAGTCCACCTATGTAATTTCCTCAACCCTTTAAAGATCAAACATTAGATGATTTGGAGATGATTCAGGTGGAAAAGCCTACTGATAAAGGTTGTGTATTTTATGATTTTCTTACACTTTTAAAAACTTCCCTTGTCGAACTTAGTGAATAGGATGAAATAGAGGCATTTTTGAAAAAAATGAAAGAATATTATAATGGAAAGGAATTGGATAATAATAGGATTAAGGAATTTTTAAATAAACACTAGGATTTAGAAAACAATGAAAAGGAAGATAGAACCAATGCCATAGAATTCCCTACTTGTCTAAAAGTTTCCCCAACCTCTGATCCTCAGCCAAAACCCTCAATCATTTCACCATTTTCATTTACTCATACTATAACATCTATGGAGGAATCTCTCACTTTAAAGCCCAACCTTATACTTACCATAATGGTACCTCTTTCATTGGTACTGAAACCAGTGCTCACCTACCTTAGTTCAACTAATGCTATATTGAAGACATAACTTAGGGTAGGCCACATGCCCAATTTCACCACATTCACTGAGCACCATCACTTAGAATTTATTATTGAAGATATGGTAAATAGAAAAACCATCAAATGGGTAAATGTTGGTGTTAAGTGCGAAGTAATTATGTAACCCTTTAGATTTTTATATTAGTCAAGCTTGACTATAATTAGTGCTGCTTGGGAAGCAACCTAAGTTTTTAAATTTTAGTTTTGCATATTTATTTTTAGTTTGTTATTTTAATTTTTTGAACAGGTAAGGCATTGGTTTTCTTTGTTTTGTTTTTGTAGGAATTAGGAGTAAAAAGGATATGATAGATTCAGCAATGACGAATTTTCTTGAAGGCAGTTTTAGGTTTTGGAATTTAAAAGATTATTTCTTTTCCCTTTGGTGCTTTTATGCTTTATTTCCACACATTGAGAACAATGTTGCATTTAAATTTGGGAGGAGAAAATTTGTGTCAAATTTTTTCAAGTTTTTTTTAGCTTAGTTTTTCATGTTTTCAATCATCATTACACTTCCCATGATTATTTTCTTATAATCTAATGATAATAACTTTGATTGATTTTGAATATAGTTTTTTAAAAAGAATGAATATAGTAAAAGCATGATATGAGTTCTAGAATTAGTTTCTTTTTAATTACAATAGTTCATCATTCTTGAGCACTTAGTCTTAATCTTTGAAATGCATGTATATTTAGTTGAAATTTATGTAGATGTGAAGTTGCATTGATTTTCAAAGTTATATTCATATTTTAAATTTTGTTTGAACATCTCTTGAGACAAAATATTAGACAACGCTTAACTAGAAAGATGATTTATACCATTTATTATCATATATGATTTTGATGAAAACACCTATAATCATAGAGGCAAATAATTAGGTGAATTGCATTTAATTGGATAAAGAATTATCGCTCAATTATTCTTGCAGACACATAGATATGTGATTGACAAACAAAATTATCTGTTTAATTTACTTATCATAATTTATTAAGTAAAAAATAAGATTTTGGGTGAGTGTTGAACTCTTTACAATCATATTCAAACCCATTTGGATGTCCCCTCTAGAGAGATCGCCGCACAGCTAAAATAAGCTGATCAATTCAGGCACCAAATTCTTCAGAAACAATATCAGCAAGAAGATTTTCATTTTTTTTAAAAATTATTCAACCATGGATATACAAAGGGACAATTAGAAGGACACAAAGCAGGAGAGAAGCACTCAGTTTGCTACAGCTTTCACAGCGATGTACAAAGTAGTTTAGATTTTGTGTCTAATCCTAAGTCAGACAAACGACCGACCTCTTAGGCATGTCACCTTTAGATATTGTGCAGAACCAAACAACCAATTCAGTAAGAAAAATTTCCTTCTCATCTTGGTCAGGTTACATGGACAGCTTCTTACCATTGCTTTAACATAGAGAAATGTACTCATGATATTGCAGTGAGTACTCAAATAAAAGTTCATTCAGATGGTCTTCTTAAACTTGAATGCTCACTCTCCATGGAGATAATACACGCAAGCCTATCATAAACCTGCAACCAAATTTGAAAAATCAATCCTTTCCCAGAAAACGGTTCATCTTTCAAGTGTAAAATTCTGCAGCACTTACCACAGAAAGCTGCTGACGATTATTCTGATTCTCTTCCGGCTCTTGTTTATTTGTTGATGATGAGTCATACCTAGACAGCGTGACAGACAACAAGTTAGTTAAAGACAGCCATATCTAGCTTGTAACTTCTAAATAAAAATTGTCTTGCCAATTGGTCGTAAAGAGAAGATAAGGTATAAGTAAAAAATTTTAAATTACATGAAGATAAATATGATGGAAATTGTATCTAGATATTTTCCAAGCAAATGACTCAATATACAGAACTTTCTTACTTACCATTCTCGTGGAATACCAGCTTCATCTCGAGCTGAATAATTAAAAGGTCCTTTCAACTCCAAATTATACTCTAGCAATAACTCTGCACAGTTTCTCAAAGAACTACATAAGATGCTGCAGAGCCTGAATGGAATTGATTTTAAACACAATAAAAACTTGCCCTGAAGTGACAAAATGCTACTAAACCTTTAAATGCGGAGCATGGGGCACGATTCATTTTATGACAGATGGAGATAAACCAGTATACACCAACAGCCACGTGTGCAATTTCCTCTTCAGCAATCCTAGCTACAATGCTAGATGTCCTGTGATCCCCAAAGCCAACCATTTTTTGAACCAAGCGTGGCCCAGCATCAAGACCTCTAGCCTCCTATATCCATAAAAATATGCGTGTGAATTTTCAAACAAAATTAAAATGAAACAAATTTCCATATATATGCAGATATAAATATCAATTAGAGGGTATATCAGATAAGTGATCAAAGGGATGAACTACAGTTCTTACCCTTTCCTCCAAATGTTAAATATGCAAGTACCAGATTGACAAGATCACAGACTCTTATTAAAATTTAGAAACAAGTACTAGTACACAGATACCAAAATGCAACAGAAAATGGCTTACGCATTCAAAACAATTGGTTCTGAATAACAACGATGACATTAAAGTATGTGGCGTAGAAGGAATAAGTTCCATAAACTCTAAAAACTAATAGTTAAGCTAGATAACTGTAATTCAGAACCTGGATGCAACCTTGAGGCATATGACCTGAAATAGTTAAATTTAAGCTTAAAGGAAGCAAGAACAACTGCAGTTTCTGATGATCGAATTTTTTAAGCTTCAACTTCGGCCAAGACTAGATTATAAATGTTACTTTAGGAAATGCCCTGAGCGTGACTTCAGCCTACTAAGGCATCAGATTGGACATGAGAAACTATGCACTTAAAAACTAAATTAATCTAGATTCATAAAAATTTCCATATGAAATGTCCTCAACTAGAGCCGGTGCTATGCCCATCTCAAACTGGAACAAAATCTAATCAGCCCACATCATTACCCAAAGCCAAAGCATGGCTTTGGAAAGTACTTTTAAGTAAGATTGCTGGATGATTTTGAGTCATGCAAACTTTGTAAAGAAGATGTTATTCTGAAATGGAACATTACATTCATGCTCCCCAACCCCTGAGCAGGACGAGAGAGAGAGACAGAATGTGCTAATCCATTGTCGGCAAGATTCTGATGATAATATTTCTATCACTGTCACAATTTGCAGTCATCAAGAATCATTTATGCGAGCAATGGCAAAAGATGGGTATCGAGAATTATTTGTGTCAGATGAAAAGGAGCAGAAGACACAGGTTGGGCAATTTCCATCTTGAGCAGTTGCATTTTAACACAGAAAAGAAATAAAGATTTCCTCTCTTGAAATCATAAATTCAGTAAAAGAAGCATCCAGTCAAGTATGAAAACATAGGTCAAGAGTAAAAAATCACCTGTACTAATGGGATGGCAGCCACACGTGCAGCAACATTATCTGATGATTTCTCACACTCTCTCCAAAGTAAGTTATGAGCAGGCATATCTCCATAACTAGATAAAGGACAAATCAATTCCATGGAAGTCACAAATGAAGAGTACAAAGTAGTAAGATGAGCCTATTTCCATGCATATTTTGTTTCTTCAAATGTCAATGCCAGTTATCATGTGAATTTGCAAGTGGGACCCACAATAAAGCAATGACGATGAGAAAATTGTGTTTGGCAATAGGGCTTCCCAACTAATAAGTGCAAAATTCATAGGAAAAACTCTTTCCTTTTCTTGTTTTTGGATAATTAAAATGGTAAAACCTCTGATTACAAGCATGCACATTTTCATAACTAGTTAAGGAAAAAGAGCTTTAAGTCATTTCAATATGAAAATTACAAATCGACACATTATAGGAAGTGAGAACTCTGCTTACTTGAAACCAATCTCAGTAAGTCTTTGTAAACACCATGCAAAATGACGGCTCTCGTCATCAGCAACATGAGCGAAGTCAGCAAAGAATTCATCCCCAAGAATCTTATAGAAGGGCGAAAATCGTACAACAGTATCCCATGCCAAATCAATTGCATTTAGCTCCACATGAGCAAGGTTATGAAGCAAGTAAGCATTAAGAGGCAGGCCAGAGTTTTTGGGCACCGGAATCTCCTTAGGAGACACCTGCATTTCACAAAAACCAACCAAAAAGTAATCATTTTCACCTATAGAACTTTATAGTAATTGAAAGATAGGCAACGCCCAAATGAAGAATTGATCACAAAGATCAATCACAAGTGCTATTTACTTGAAAGGACCCAAGATTTCAGTGAACTATTATATAGGAATAATTAATAAATAAGCAAGACTCTTGAATCATTGAAAAAATCAATAATTACGTTCCGTTGGGAAAAACTAACAAAGCCAGTTAAGAGTAGCCATAATAATATTAATGAGTGATAATTTGATGAGTTAAAAGTCACAATCTCTAAGACCAAAAGTTGCACTAATAGAATGAGCTAAAGCAATCATGTTATCAGGTTTCAGGAAAAAAAAAAAAAGTTATGAGGAACAAATCCCGTTGATCATAAGTATAGATTATGAATAGAAAGAATAAATACCACACTGCAAAATACAAAGAAACTCCAATTCTATGCCGTATAATTTTGAATGAGAAACTTGTAGAGAAATAGAAAACAAACCAATTGAGGGTTAGGAGGGCGAGCAGGTTGAGAAGGAGGCTGGCAGAGCCCAATAGGCAGATTCTCATTGCGCCATCTGGAGAAAGCCAAATGAGAGAGCTTGGATTTGGTAAGAGGGTCACTGGTAGAGAGAACCAGAGCACCAAGCTCTGCAAGAGAGGAACCAGAAGCCTCCAGCCGGGCCGGCGTGATGGGGTCAATGTCTGAGGAAGAGTGTTGGGAATGTAACAGAGGTTGAGGACCATTGGGTCCCCAAAACCGGTCCTCGTTTAGTGGGCTCTCCCTCCAGCTTTGGAGACCAGACCACGAAGAGAATTGCAAAGAAGAAGAAGAAGAAGAGGAAGAGGAAGAGGAAGAGGAGAAACGAAGCTTGGTGTAGTAAAAATGAGGAGGAAAAGATGACAAGCGCAGTTTGGTGGCGAGCAGCATGTTTCTGATTTTAAGATGGAACCACATTTGTGCAATTGCGTTGCATTGCTAAAATTTTATGCGGTTAACTGGAGTTTTTTCCGACGGCAGCATTAACTAAAACTAGATAACTTGCCCTCGCTTCACTACAGAATAAATTATATCCCGAAATAAAAATCCATAGTAAAAATACTTCCAAGCACGAAAGAAAGTAAAGGTATGAGAAAATTCTAAAATTAAAATCTTATACTATAAAAAAATTATATGTAGGTAACTTTTTCACTTAGTAACTTGAACTTTAAAATAAAGAAAAAAAAAAAAGTAAAACCTATTCAGAATAAATTGCAATGTTATTATTCATAATTCAATCTGTCTTAAGTTAAATTAAATAAACATAAAATTTAAACTAAATTCATTTTAATTTTGATATCAAAACTACAACTATGCATATATGCTAATAAGGGTCAATGATACTATAATTTCAAATTTTAAAAGATAAAAACACAAGACAAAAATTAGTCCGTTAATTAAACAAAAACAAAAAAAAAATCAAAATGCATGCAACTAATGGTATATATACACATATATGAACATGAACCAAAATACTTTAAAAAAAAAGTCAATATAAAAGTTTAAATTGACAAAGAATGGTATTACCTTTTGGCAAAAGCATTGAAATCTTTGAAAATCAAAAAACTAAAATGTACAAATAATTATTTAATAAAACAACAAAGAAAACACTAACAATAAATTATTTGTCACAATAAGTGATCTTACCTTTCTTTATAGTTGATCAATTAAATCTGATAAAAGTAGTCAGAAATCTACATTATACAAAAGAAAGAACAACAACAAATTTTAAATAACAAAAATTGTAAAACTATAGACACTATCATAATCAAAATTTAAATAACAGAATATGGATGGATTGTATAAAAAAATTTGACATTTATTGATGGATTACCAATAGAATACCAACGAAATTAAATCCATCGATGAAAATTTGGCACCAATTACCGTGAATTTTATCAATGAAAAATTTCATCGATAATTTGTAGGTAATTTTTTTACCTATGGATTACAAATAAAAAATTTTTGTTAGTAAAAAAAATTTACAAAAAAAAATTAGACATTATCAACGAAATTTTATTAGTTTTTCCATTGGCAAAAACACTATAATTTAAATCTCCTTTTCCCAAAATCGGCCAAACCTAAAAAAAAAAAACCCTCAAATCCTTAACTTTTTTTCCCTTTTCCCATAGTCCCTTTCCTTCTCTCCCCACCTAGTCTCCCCTCTCCCCACCATGTTCCGTCATCGGCTAGTTAGTAAAACAATTTATTATATCTTTCCAATTTGTTTTCTTAGGTTTTTTTAATGATTTTCGGTTTGGAGTTTTGATTGAAATTTTTTGTTTGATGAATGATTAATCTTGTTATTGGTTTTATTGACCAAGAAGATAAGATTGTTGTGTTGGTTGGAACTGTCACCAATGACATTCATGTGTATGAAGTTTCAACGCTGAAGGTTATTGTACTAAGATTCATTAAGATAGCAAAGGCAAGGATTGAGAAAACTAGTGGGGAATGTTTAACATTTGACCAACTTGTTTTTCGAGCACCTCTTAGACAAAACATAATATGCTTTATGATGCAAATCTTTTACTTCAATTGTCAGCATTGTGCAATTGTTTACTAGTCATTTTGAGACTAAAAATACCAGGTTTTATATTAAAATGGTTGGCTTGTCTTTACTAGCTTTGGAATGTCTATTTTTTTAGGGTGGATGGATTAGAAATGCGTGATTTTAGTTAGGCATGTATTACCTCCTTGTTTCTTTAATTGAAATTGTTATTCATGACAGCTACTTATTGTGTTTATCTAAAATCAATTATGTACTAGTGAGTCTTAAATGTGTTATGTGGTTATAAACTATACAATTACTTTAAGCCTTCAACACGTTCCCATTAAACTAATTATAAGAAACATTAATCTGCCAAGCTATCGTTATGTCCTGATTTACAACTCTACTTGTTTTGTTGCGTAGGTGTTGCTTTTAAAGTGAAATATGTAAATGCTAGGGTTAAGAATCTGAAGCTTGCAATTTGGGATACATGAAAAAACTAAAAGTTTGCTAATGTATTATTTGTATTCTTTTTTTTTTCTTTGACTTTAATTTTCAATTATGATAGAAGTGGGCTTTCAATGATTATTGTATTCTCTAATTTTGTACTATATAACTTGATTTTTTTCATATATTATTTGACTTTTCTTGTTTTTCATAAGTCCTAGTTAAAAATTGTCATGCCATAGTGACATTATAAATAATGATGTTTAGGCTACTTTGCTTGCTTTCTTTCCCTATTAATATATCACTTCTAACTTTGTCAAGTTTTTGTTGAGTTTCTCTAGAATAGAAACCTTTATTTTACTGTTCAAACCAAAAAGCCTAAGCTCACCTATATTTGGTGAGTGCAAAGGTTTTTTTTTAAAGAATAGTGAAAAATGATGGCAAGCAGAAGTGTTACTAGAGAGTCACTAGGTTCTGACAAGTAGCTTATTGAAAGAAAATATTAAGCTAAGATTAGTTGTCTCTAAGAGTTTGAGTTTACTAAAGCTCTTTTTGATTGATGCTTTGTCTATTTTTGTTGGTCGCACTCATTTTTCTTTCACACACAATTGATATACTTTTCTAGCTTTTTCAAATTAAAGGCCAAGAAGCAAAAAGGCACTGTATGCCCATATATTGGGCTTGGTCATAGTGAAATCTTAATAACTTACTTAGTCTTATTGTGTTTTGAGACAAACAATTACATATGTGGAGCTGAGCTCTGTGGTTGCTTTAGAAATGACATTGTCAATGGTCTACACATTTTTTCCCCACAAAATCATTAAATCGAGATGCTAGTATGTTCTTAGTGGAAATATTTGTGAATGAAACAAGTTATGTGGTAATTGCTGTACCATTCTCTACATCATCTAGTTTGGCTAGACGTCCTTGTTAAATTACTCAATTTGGCTTTTAGTGCTTGATCATATTGCTATAAAAATCTTTATTGATCTTATTATTTGTTGTGGTGTAAATCAGTTTTGCATGATAAAAAATTTGCTACTTTTTTTGCTTATAACTTAATGTAGGGGGAATTTTTTTTTTATTGAGTTGACTTATCTATACTAAATGTGCATGCAGCTGGGCAGGAAAGATTTAGAACATTGACAAGTTCTTACTACAAAAGAGTACAAAGGATCATTTTTTGTATTTTTATTTAAGAAAATTTATAAACAATTTTGCAAAATATTTTATATTCTTTTATAAATAAAATGGAGCATTTTGTTTATTATTTTTCTATTTATATATATTTAGTATTCATGTATTTACCTTATAAATAAATTAAAAAAACTAAAAAAAAGACAAAAATTATAAATAGAATAAATTAAATATAACTGAAAAATAAATATTACCGATGAATTTTACCTTCAATAATTACCAATGAAATTTCGATCGGTAAATTTCGTAGGTAATAATTCCACTAGAATTTACTGATCGATTTTTCATCAATAATTACTAATGAATTTCATTTATTATCGATAGAATAGCATTACCAACTTAGTTACCACTAACGGTATTTTTTCTAGTAGTGAGTCATTGTTATAGAAAAGTACCAACATTTATTAGTAGGAATCAAAACAAAACTTGTAGTTAAAGCACTAAATTAATCACAGCTTGGCAAGATGAAGAAAATTAATAATCAAAATATATTCAAACATTAACTTGTCAATGAAATTTAACTAAAACATAACATAAAGCTAAATAAAATTTTGTGCTTTTAAAAAAGATTTAAAGTTCTTATTCATATCAATTTAACTTCAAGCATGGCCATGCTTCATACCAAATAATCATATATTAATGCCAAAAAGATAAAAAAATCTTACAATTATTGTATAGGTTTTAAATAATGAAGTAAACCTTTTCATTCAAAAAGGATTAAGTTACATAAGCAATGTATTCAAATCTTCATGTATCATTTTTTTTGTTAAGTTCTCAACATTAAAAGAGGATTTTAGGGCTTACATATTACCAATCAATCTTTCTTTATGAAAGCTCCCTTAATTCTTGAGATTGGAAATTGTGAGGCCTCAATTCCCCTTTTGACCTTTTATTACTCACAATTATCAAAGAAATAGTAACCTTGGAAATAGAATTTCAATTTCCATCTTTTGGTCGAGAAATTATAAGAAATCAACAATCAATCTAGGAAGCAATGTATGACAAAGTCAAAAGTAGATTTGAAATCCTTAATAACATGTATTTAACCTTAATGCAACTTTTGTTTAAACAAAACATAAACAATAGAACTTTAAAAACAAAAAAAAAACTTAAACAATAGAAAATTTATAAATAAGAAAAAGACACAAATAAAAAAATGCTCTAATTTGTAGCTTTTGATCACTTAGTAATTTAAATATCACAATAAAAGTATTAATGAAACATATACAATCATTAATTCTAGACAAATTACATTTTACATCAATTAACTTCTTTGATCAAACTACTAACCCATCATAGCTAACAAAAGATAGGTTTCTAAGAGAACAATTGCATGTCATACACTTATTGAAAATATATTTTACATCAATTAGCTTTCTTGATCAAACTATCATTCCTCATTTTCGTAACTAAATTCCAGGCTTAGTGCAAAATAATTAATAAACAAAAAATTTCTTTGTCCATGGATCAACATAAATCCATTTTAATTTCACTAATAACAAACTTATCAATCCCTACTGCCTATATTTTTTCTCTTTGTTCTATGAAAAGTCCAAGTGTTTTGAAGAAGTGGATGCTCCAATAACTAAACAATAGTGGACTCAAGAACTAGCTAATATATTGGTAATCATGTGATCAAACTTTATTTACTATTTACATGATGACTCTAAAATACATATGAATGAATCATATCACACCTGATGACTATTAAATTTATAACTTATTATAAGTTCACTTAGCTTTAAAATTCTAGAAATTTGCAGCAATTTGGTGCTTTTAATGTGTGAAATCTTAACTTTAAGGTTTGGCTAAAATGGTAAAAGTATTTGGTCAAGACCTAGACTTAAGCCCTTTTTGGCCATGCACTAACCTATTATTTAGATAGTTAAAACTATTAAAGGATAGGAAAAGGAAAAGAGTCCTAGCAACCATTGT